CATGCCGCAAACTGGAAAGCAATAGCCCAAGATAGGCAGAGCTGGAGAAGGCTAGTTCAGGCAGCCAATGATCTACAAGATCTGTAGAGCCAACGAAAAAAAAAAAAAAAAAAAAAAAAAAAAAAAAAAAAAAAATATATATATATATATATATATATATAATATATATATATATATATATATATATATATATATATATATATATATATATATAAATAAAGGTATGCTGCCCGGGTCTCTCTCTCCACCCCCCGGGTATGTTAAACCCGTCACACTACTGGAGGCAATTCACACCGACCGGGCATTGGACTGATGACCCTCCCTATACCGTGTACTTAAATCGGGAATCGGAAAACGAGTTTACCAGGATGTTAGTAGCCCCCCTGAGGTTCGGTCCATGGCTGGTCTGTTTTGGGAAAAGAAATATAGATCCTCGTACACCTGCTGACTCTGATCAGCCATGATCTATGGATCTAGACTGATTTGTTACTGTCTTTAAACCCGAGAAAGTCGGTGGACATTGACAGATTGGCCCTAAAAGGATCGGGTAAGGAGCTACGGATGGGCTGCCGCTGCACCATGGAGACAATGGTTTCTAGCAATGTGAGGTTAGGTGACCCCCCTCCAGGCTATCCCGAAAGAACATAAGTCTGTAAGGAGACCACATCAAGCGGCCAAAGATCTTTATGGTCTGTAGCGCTAAAAGAAAAAATATATACATGTATATATTTTATCAAATTTGTTTTAATGAAATATGGTTGTGAATTCAATAATTCAACAAGAAGTAGCAATAATTATGTAACATAAAGGGGAAGAAACAAAAACTTGAAATTTCAGAACAGATATGTTGGAATATATCAAGAAAATAAATTGACGTAAGTAGGACATTCAGCTTCTGACTTGAATAAACTCTTAGTTCATTCATGTTAATCATGGCTGTGTCGCATAAACACCTTCTGCGTGTACAACTTTTCGAAACCAACGTTATTCAAACGTAGTTCTTCCTACAACAATGGAAACAATTGTTGCTATTTGAACGATTGGACATAACTCCTCCTTTCTCCCCTCTCTAAAAACAAGAAAAGAGCCTCATTCAAGATTTCGCTCCGGACCACAGTACTTCACCTACTCTACTTGGTGAAAGTTGGAGTAGCGGATTCAGGATTTAATTTTAGAGAGGGGTTGACTTTTTTTTTATTATTGTTCTGCACAATTGTCCACGCTCCCCTTCTTCCCCAGTATCCGCCAATGGAAAGTGGTTAGGGGTGGATTTAAAATAATATGAGTTATTAACGTATTCTACACAAAAATTTACTCCAATTTAGAATCTCTAAAGAATAATATCATTTATCATAATATTTGTACTAATTTGTTACACCCAACCGCATATTCATACGCCTATTGAGTATGCGATTGGATGTCATGTGATGTTTGAATTGATTATCTTTTTGGTCCTGATGATGACTGCATTGGCGAAACGTTGCCATTTTTTTTTATTCTCTATGTGCATTTTGGAGACACGAGTGGTTGGAATTTTCCATTTATAAACCAACATTAAATTTCTGTCTCTTGATGAGTTTTTTTTTTTACAGATTTATATTATTAGAAAGATTCTTTTTAAAGTTCTAAAACTCTAAAGTTATTTAGTCACGAATCATGAAGATTCGTTTATTCCTTCACCTTGTTCATTTAATTTACATTTAAATTTTATTTTACTACTGAAACACATCGCTGAAAAGTCAATAAAAAATATTGTTAAAAATATAAATTAAAAAGAGAGAGCATTGGTCATTGATACCTCCTCCCTTTTTAAAGTTTTTCAAGTCTCATAAAGCTCATTTTCAGCTCGACAGATTTCGTACTTGTTCGTTGTTGTCATCTCTTGACCGATTCTATCAATATGGCTTATGATTTATTTTGTCATGACATATTTTGTAGTATGCGCTTGCAGACGTTTTGCGAATCGAATTGTAAGTCTGAATATAGATATGTGTGATTTTTATAAATTTGTATTGTTGCACTAATTGACCAATATTATAATTATTCCAAATTCGATATTTAAAGTATTAATATACTCCTCATCTACCGAATGTTCGCAATTACCTTGTGAAATAACAATAAGGTTTTATTTATTTGAACCCTTTTTGTATTCATAAATCTTTTCTAGTCCGAATTATTAATGATGTTTATAATACAATACAATTAACAGAAATCTGGAGTCCTGTGCAATATGAGAGGCTGTTAAGGCTAATTATAATTTGAAGAGGACAGATTGTAGCAGCCGAGTCACAATTTATTTCAATTGCCTCAATCTTCTCCTTAATAAACTGTCCACTTTGAGACCCAAACAATTTTTATTTCAAGTTTTTTTTTAAAATTATTATACCAAATTGTTAAATTAATGAAGACACTGTATATATAATGTAATAATAGCATGCCGCTATATATATATATATATATTTTATTAAAGTAAATTTGAATTGGTAATATGACATGTACAACATGAAGACAAACTCCACATTCGTAGTACTCCAATTATCCAGGTCCAGAGGCCATTTTCTTCTAAGGCGCCTCGGAGGGTTATTAGAAATCGAAGGGGAAGCAAGGTAAGAAACAAGATGATTAGGATGGTTCAGAAGTTTATTATGGAAGGATAGGTATCTGGACTGGACCAAATAGGACACATATTAAGGTCGTTATGAATGATATCATTAGTGACAAAGTAAGGAGCATTGAGGATTTTACGAAGGATTTTGGATTGTAAGGATTGGATTCGAGAGGAATTCGATGGCTTTGTGGAACTCAAAAGCTCAATCCCGTAAGTCCAAATAGGCCTGATGATAGCCATGTATTTGAGTCTTTTGTAATTAATTGGAAGTTTTGAGCGGTTTTCTTGTAAGTTCTGAAGTAGTCGAAAATGTAGAGCGGTTTCTAATCGTTTCAATCTGGTATGAGGAATCCAAGTTAGACGTTTGTCTAAGCAGAGTCCTAGGTATCGGATTTGTTTTGCAGGAGATATTATTAAAGGATACTGTGGAACAGGATATCATAAGTTTACAACGAAAGATAAAGGTGTTTTGATGGGATTTATTTTAATCCTTCGGTTTTTACACCACTCTTCAAGACTTGTAATGTGTGATTGAAGAGTTTGGGATGTAATTTTTGGGTCGTTATTAACTGATAGGATACCTGTGTCTTCGGCATAGGACGTGATAACAGTGTTGGGATGTCAGTTATATAAACTGTGTAAAGCTCAGGCGGATCTGCGGGAGGGGGAAGGCTTTCGGACAGCCTCCCAAAATGGTAAAATGTAACGCTGTTTTATGGAAGAAAATATTAAAAATTATCTCTTAAAGTATTACTGTTCGTGTAATTACATTTAATAGGACCTCAAGTATCACTTAAACAACATTTCATGTTGGTAGTTAGTTTCTTTTCTTTTTTTCCAAAGGAATTATTGTTATATATATGAAAAAAAACCTATCAAGCTGAACCCTCCCCTCCCAAATTAAATCCTGGATTCGCTACTGGTGTAAAGGATAGGACGTAGGATACTGCTTTGAGAAAAACCACATATTGATTTACACTGCTCTCAATCATATGTGCAGAATTCAGGAGGGAAGGAGGGGTGATTAAACGTCTTAAACATATACATATAGAGGATAGTGATCATGAATGATTTGCGATTTTTGTTTATCACCCTCCCACTATAATATATGTAACCCAGTTTTAGAAAAACTCTCTTGTTTAATAAGCTTTAAGTCCATACTAATTAAGTTGTGGGTTTATAACGAAATAAGTTGAGATTCACCTCAAGTAGGGTAAAAAAATGAGGTATTTTGATATCATTTACCCGTGTTTTAAGCAAAAATGGCTCCAATAAATTATTAAAAAGCTTTAATTTACTTTTCCCCAGTACTTGGGATATATTATAATAAACATAAATTCAACAATACAGTTTTTTATTTATTCCAAAAAAAAAAGCAATATTAAATAAAAATTATTTTAAGTAGGAGCATTTAAATTAAATATACCGAGAATGACAGTTATAGATATTTTAATTATGTAATTAACTGCTTATTAAATTGATAATAAGTCAACATGCCAGTCACTCAAGCGGGGCTTGTTGCAGATCTTTCACTCATCATTCAGCTCTATCTTATCTATATGTATGAAACGCAGATGACTAACACATGTTGTCTGTAATGAGTGATGTCTATATCTCAAAAATATTAATGCATATGAAGCTGACATTATATATATTGACTGAAATTAGCAGACATATATGTATAACAATGATAATAAATAAAACTTTTAAAAAATATAGTTTTCATTTTTATCCGCTTTTCACAGGCAGGAGGCTTAGGCGATTCCAATAATTTTTTTTTTTACTTCTGTTTTGAACTTTTGAGTGAGAAAAATATATTTATGATAATATTTTATGAATATATACAACGGCTATGTTTAAAAATTAAGATATTATTGATTGATCAATAATTTGGCTACTCGTATGTGTAGGTATGCGGTTAACTCAAAACAAACTCAACAAAGGAGCAAAACTTGGCGTTGACACACTCCTTTTTAATTGAACTTATAGTGGCAGAATTTTCCGTTTTACTTCGGGGAACTAGGACAGATGAAGTGAAATCCTGCCTGATGAGTTCTTCTGGCGGACTGGCGGATTACCGGAGAGGAGGAACTTTTGAGCTGAAACTTCCTCCCTAAAATGAAAATATGTATATATTTTTATATTTTATACCAAAATTTAAGTTTAGGATAAAGAAATCTACAGATTGCTTCAATTATTTTTATGAAAACGTAAATTTAGGACTAGAAACATTAAATTTGTTTCATATAAATACACATCAATTCCTATGACATAAATCTGGGAGAAAAACATAACTTCATAACCAACTAATCTCTAGTACTTCCAAAAATTGAATTAAAGCCCTAGTGTTGTGATGAACTCTTTATATCTTTCTGGTGGCCGAAGGCCCTACCTGTTTCTAAGTTCCTTCTTGAGTAACTTATTCTCATTTATATTTTCATTACTGCCAGAAGTAGCATCAAAATCAGCTTCGGAATCTTCCCTATCATCCTTTTTCTGATCTTCAGGTTGTTGAGAATTTTTGGTTTTCACTTCTTCTTGCTTTTGACTTTCTAACCAAGCCGCTCCATGGACCCCGATTAAAGAATTTGTTACAAAAGGTTGGACTTTATGATCCAAAATCTCTTCAATGAGGGAGAGTGTTCTGATAAAGTATTTATTTGAACAGAATTGTTCTTTGTTCATTGAAAGCTTTTGATTATATTCCCTGCTAGATTAAATTATCTAAGCACATGTGCTTTTTTTTTTTTTTTTTGTGCAAAGTAGAAAGGTTACTCTCTGTTATTGGATTATTAAGAATACAAGTGTTATTCGTTTCAAATGTGCTTCTGTTTTTTATTTTAATTAACTTTAACAGTTTTTACCATACCTATGTATAACAATTATAACAATCATATTGGAAAACCTAAGACTAGTATACAATTATTAAAAATGTCTTTATAATACATCCTTAGACAACTTTATTTTTTTATCCTGTGACTGAAGAATTGTTTAACCGTCAGGAGAAGTCCACTCCTGAGCGATCAACATAAAGCTCTTCCCTAATATCAACACCGGCCATTTTCAAATGACTGACCTGCGATTTATTTATTGCCATAGCTAAGCAGAGTTTGACAGGGAACCTTTTGAAATGAAAGTGGTAATCAGATGGAATTAACGCAATTCCTGGAATGAAGACTGTTTTCTACTGAATACATCCAGGGAATATTGTTGGGGGGTGCTTGGTTTTTTTATTCATTTTTTTTAATAATGATAATTACTCTGGAAAAAATATAGTAACTATATAAACTAATTTTTATGTGATACTTGAAGGCTTATTTAAAAAAAAAAATCTGGTACGGTGCGTGCATCATACAACTTTCACTTACCAACCTAAGAGTAGGTAGATATTTTCTTATATGAAGTCGAAGTGAAAACGGCTGAATGAACACTTGACGTGAAAAATATTTGAAAAATCATCATTTTTAATTTTTTTATTTTTATAAGTAAGTTTAGGCAATTATGATTATCACGGAAAAACAAGAAATAAAAGGTTTTCAACAGTTGATTGTGGTAACATTTTCTGAAAATACGGGTACTTCTAGCTGACTGGATTGAAAATCAGATCATTTGTTGACAAACCTTGTGGAAAATCTCAAATTGTTTCCTAATAAATCTCTACTTAATTAATATGGACTGAAAGCTTACTAAACGAGGATTTTTTTTATAAAAGGGGAATGAATGTAGTACAGTTGAAGGATTATAAAAAAAATCACAAAGAATTTACGATTTTTTTTAAAAAGAACTTAACTGTTGTCCGTTCAATAGTCCTCTTTAAATAATTTTATCAATGAAAAATTCTTCTTCAGTTAAAGAAAATTTTATCTAGATTACAAAGGAGCCATGTTTAATTACTTCAATCAAATATTTTTTATGCTATCGCTTCCTATTCAACGAAAAATGAGACTCGCTTAAAAAAACACAAATCATAAATTTTCTACTTAAATGCTGAAAATTGGACAATTGTTTATGTGAACTTTTTTGTAGATCTTGATGTCTACTATCAACATTCTAAATATTTTTTTCTACTTACGGGACATCCTGTATAGTGCAGGTACCGCGTGCACAATTAAAGCGATTTCAGAAATATAATTTTAAAAAATGTGTACATTAATAACGTATACATACATATTAATATTTTATTTAATTTGTGCGTAAAAGGTAATTTTACTTTCACCTACATATAAATGTAATATGTTAAAGTATTTGGATCGTGAAAATTTTTAATCTGAATTTTCAACAAAAGTACACGTTTTGAGGTACCATGAGTCCAAATTACCAAGTCCAGCAAAATGGTCTGTGTGTCTGTTAGCAGTCTAGTTCAAAAACGAGAAGTAGTACGAAACTGATATTATGTATTAAAGATAGGTATATGCCTTAGATGAGACAGCAACTTTTTCCTTAAAATCGGTTAACTGGAAGTGCCACTTTATATCAACGCTGAAACACATTTGTACAATATTCTCAAAAATAGCTCTAAAGATTTTGATTAAACTCGGTGTATCATCGTATAATTGTGTGGTTTTTAATATCAATCAGGTCTTTTCCCCATTGATGTCACTTTCCAGAGCTTGAATGCCCTATGTTCATATACGCCTTCCTCTAAAGTACCTTTAATATGGTGTATCTTAAATAATTAATGATTTCACATTATTAAGAGTTACGAAAAAATGCTAAAAATAATTTTTGAAACAATTTGATAATTGGATAAAGGAGAAAAAAAAATAAAAATGCGTATGCAGGTCGAAAATGAATCTCCGGAAACACTAGTCAGAAGGTATACGTATAATATATAGTTGAAAAGAGAAGACTTTTAGAAAAAAACAATATCTAATATAAAAAGTTGTACAAGGTAATGGAGAGTGTCGAAAAAATTATACATAATAATTTTTGAAAAATAATATTATTTAACGTTATCACTTGTTTTCAAGGAAATTAAATGAAATTTACTAACTAAATGTAAACTTTCAAAGTATTTTTAAGTTTGAAAAAGTGTTTAAAATCCATCTAATCGAGGCAATGCCATTCTTTAAAAAACTATTTCATTGTATTTGTGTGAAAGAAGAAGTGAAATATCAAATCATTTCACGGACGTATAAAGCATATGTTTATAAACTTAAAGACATTTACTGTAGTTTAATAATTCTAGATCTGATATTATATTTAATTAATTAGGTATCAACGCCCGTTTATTCTGAAAAATCGTCATGTAACTTTTTAGAAAATTAAATTAGTGAATAATTTGATGAATTTTCCCTTTGTGAAATCCCAACAATATCTAATATAGAAAATTGTAGAAGATAACGTAGAGTAGCGAAAAAAAAATATAAATAATAATTTCTAAAAACCAACATTATTTTAAATAAATCACGTGTTTTCAAGAAAATTAAAACCACCCTTAACCACTTCTTTTATTTAACTGGCTTTCAGCATGTTGTTTATTTTAATTAATCGTATCTGTTTTTTAGATTACCTATTAAGTGACAATGAACCAAGGCAATAATAATAATTAATAATTATTTCTTATAATTTAGTTTCAATGTGCTCATCTTCTTGAGGACCTGACATGACAGGAGATAAATAAATAAAATTTTAAACAGTAATATACTTGTTTTTGGGTGTAAGAAAGCAACTGATTTATCTGGAACCAACTGCTCCAAAGCCAAGAGAATTTAAACATTTCAGTTCATCTTTTCACGTCGAAGGTACATAGTAGAAGTTCTCCTAGGAACTAATCTCAACTTTAAATGAGAACATCAAAAACTCCTGTTTTGTCGCGTTAATTTTACAATTATTAACATTGTGTGACGTGGATCTGTTGTTTCATTGGATGTTTTCCTATAGGTCTCTGTTACCTTGCTATTTTTAAACTCGGCGAAAGTTCCTCCTTAAGTTATATCAGGGTTATTTAACCACGTTAGATGAACACTATTGAAACCTCAAGGTAAAAACACATTGCCACTGTGCTCCCCGATTCAGTATTTCCGAGAAATAAAAAAAAAAGAAAAAAAAAAAAAAAAAATGAAAAATAAAAATATTGGTATGAACTCTATTATTGTTATAATACGTTTTCTTCTTTTTACAGTGATAAGATACTTTGAGAACTTCGTCAAACAAAACAAAAAGGTTTTTTGAAGGTTTCACGTTTTCGTTGAGATCCGTTAATATTTTTGAATGTAAAGAAAATACTTTCTTATAGATGATTGAAGTTCTGTTGGTTTTAAGTAAAAATTTGCAAAAAGGCATTTTAGAATAGAATAGAATAGAAAAATAATTTTACTCTGGGACAAAGTCCCTTTAGAATAACAAAAAAGTACAAAATTAAAGTATTATATCTGGCCTAAGTAAAAACAAACATAAAAAGTAAAAATAAAGAAAAAAAAGTAAAGAAAATATTAGTTAAACATACTATGTACAAAATAAAAAAAAATCTATATACAAAACACTTGAAACCATGCCAAGACCCTTAAAACTATGTACAGTGGTAAAATATAAGTATACACTTTTAAAAAAATAAATAAAAAATACATTACATTCTTCTTAGCAATAAACTTTCTGCAGAAAAAAAAAAGAAAAAGAAAACAAATCTGATAGTAAGTATTTGAGTGATGAATTATATGTAAATATATCATTATGTGAATCATTTTGAATAATATGTAAATTTACATAAAAGGTTAGTGGGGGGTGTCTGACTGCTTTTGGAATAGAAATTTTAGGTTTTTTATTTGAAGTTGACGGTTCCATGGTTAAAAAAAAAAAATAGTTCTGGGATTAATAATAAGTGAATAACTTTAAAAAATTGACAACCCATACATTTAAACAAATATTCATTATTCATTTACACAAACCACTAGTAAAAAAAAAAGTAAATAAAAATAGAAAGCTGTTGTTATTTGAAACTATGGTAAATCTATTTTATTAAACATTAAAAGGTTTTTAATTTTTATTATGGACCAGGAAAATATTTTGCCTTATGGGTTTCCATAAAGATCTTTTATTATATACGAATAGATCAACTTTAATCGTTGTTAACTTTGTTGGGGTAGATTATCATAGGTAGTTTATTCATTGGCTTCTGTAATGGGACTCCATCTTGTAACCTTAATTTAATATTAATTCTGCTTATTACATGAATATTTTCGTGTGTTCTGCTTTAACTTTATATTGTACTGATAATATTTTATACTGTGAATATTTCAATATTCACTATTTTATTCTGTAAAGGTTTTAATGTTTAATACTTTATACTATGAAGATGTTTTACTATGAATATTTTATACAAATACTAAATAATTTAATACTGTAAATATCTTCTATGCTCTATTTTATATTATTACATATTTATTTACCGTTTTAATTTATAGGACGTTTATGATATATAGTATCAGTGATATATTATTGATATTAAACATACAATTTTTCAGCCAGACCCCTGTAATGTGTCCTTCATAAATACAGTTTTTTGTTTTATTTATGTATATTAAAAAAAAAAAAATTGCCATTGAAAGGGCAGGAAAATTATTTTATTGAAAATTATAAAAGATTTTTAATTTTTATTATGGACAAGGAAAATAGTTTCCTAAATTGGTTTCCACAAACTGTGACTGCATAACAAGGTCATGACTTTGCGAGAGGTGACTCACATA